TCAACATGGATTCGTGTAAGCGTAAAGTTACAAATGCCTAACCCCGCGTATGAAATTCCGTGTCTTTCGCAATGCATTACATTTCCAACAATTTCTTAACATTTTATTTTAATTAATTTAATTAATATTTATAATAACTTTTATGATGGTCAGAGCTATCACTACTGCAATGGAGTAGTCTATTAAGTGTATTTTAGCACAATTTTAAAATAAAAACAAATAAAATAGCCCAATTAGCATATTTTACCAAAAACAATCAATAAAATTATACCATAAATTTACTGATTATAATTAATTAGTTAGCATCTTCAAAACCACGCATAGGTATGGAGCTAGTATATATATACATATCATTTGACATTCTCAAAAATGTTGTCCTCGCCGATGGCAATTGCCGTCATATCTTAGTAAGATCGCTATGTGAAATTAATGGCAATCATTACAGGATAAATCAATAGGTTCAGTCGTTCCTACATATATATGTATATATAAATATCAGAAGCACCATAGGTTCAACATAGATAATAAACATAAACTTGATCATCTTTAGTGAGCACGCGAAAATATTCTTTCTTTATTTATTGCAAGCTTAACAAAACTTGTATATCATGTTAAAAAATTATCATTTGATTTTTCCAGAAAAGAAACAAATATGTTCTTATAAACCCACAGTCAAAAATTTATTCCTAGAGACTATATATGAACGATGGAATCGGGCCAACACGAAAACATAAGAAGCTACAAATGTTCCTTTTTAAGAATGAATATCCTGATTAGGAGATTAGGAGAGACAAAAATATTATCAAACATTTATTTTCTTATTTAGCGCATAGCAAGAAAGTATTGACTCTACTAGGTTCCGAACATCTCTTGTGTGATGTCACAAGATATCTCTTGTTTTGGCAACGTGTTTCTCACAAAGTAATTACAATTTGTAAAATCAACAAAATTATTTACGATGATCGATAATTTGATTAGGGATTTATATGACGCATCATTTTTCAAATAAAAATGACACTGCCTAATTATATTCTTAAAATTTACTAATATTTTGAGCTGGTGATCTATTTTACGGAAAATTGCTGTCACTACTTGAACGGAAGGAACGATTTTATTTATCATTTTCGTATATGTCCTGAAGTTGGGTTTTGACCTCTCATATAAATCAACTAACTGGTGACTTAGAAAATATTCCGAATAATGAAGAATATTACTTGTCGTATATCAGATACTGTGGTTATACACACATTCTTGTCCCAATGTGGTTTGGTTTCGTGCCCATAATTTATTAGCCCAAACAAGAAGTTTATAAGTGGCTTTAAAAACCAAAGTAAACAAAAGATTTTCATTAATAAAACTGACTTAATGTTACAACACAAATAAATCATAAACAATATTAAAATAAAAAAAGTAAATAAACAACAACAAAAATTTGTAAAATTTAAGAGCAAAAAATAATAAAAATCGTTAACTTACTGGCAGAGCATTTTGGGAGCAATTCGTTCGTTCATTTAACTCCGTTGGGCATGTTGGCCATGTTGGGCATGTTGGGCATTCTAAGTTTCATTTTGAATTGAATAACAAACTGACTGACTGAGTGCCGGACCCAGCCGTCCATCATACCCTTCACTCCATTTAACACGTTTCTGACACTAATCCTGTCTTGATGAAACTAATTTTTTTATGTGGTCTGCCTCCGCAACTGTGATTTATTTCGCGATTCGCTGTTTGATCGCTTAGACAAGCTAAGAGAGTTCATCGTTGCTCCGTTCTCCATCGCTGTTGATGTAAACAAACATACTTGTGCACTGGGAGACCGTACCACTAAGCAAAATACTTCACACACACACACACACACACACGAACACATGTGCACTTACATCAACAACAGTCCGCATTTGTACAATAATAATTTAGATACGATCATCCTCTGACTTGCAGTTACTGATTTCTTGCTGTGATAGCTACTCTTTGCTCTGATCTTGCCACAAATTAGTTTACGAATCAAAGGGGAGGGGAGAATTCACCAGTATGGTTGGTCTTGCGGATGTGTGGAGAGACACTTACCTGTACGACACACCGTACGAAGATATATGCTCCAAATGTTACGCTTTTAGGCTGCTGGTACACGCGCGTCAATCATTAAAACACGACAGTGCAATGTCATGCTTGATTTCCTGACTTGTCAATTTGTTCGACTAAACGTGAAATTCTGACCAAGGCAACACGGAAAGTGTTTTACGATCATTGAATACCAGTAATAAATGTTTAATATGTATAATAAATTGTTCGTTTTTGATTCTTAAAGCAACGATTGGAGCATGGAGAAGGGAACTGGTTTACGCATTGTTTTCAAAATTTTCCAATTTTTCAGCTTGGAATGTTTCCATTTATACCTCTTTCTGGCTATTTTATACAATGCCTCTATATGTCTTATTCTTCTTCCTTAAGGTCCATCAGGCTTCATGAAGGACTTCAGTCAATGGAGAATAAAATAATTAAAATCTATCATATGCCAAAGTATACGATAGGCTTTGAGGAAGCAAGACGTAGCATATAGAGGAACTGCATAAAATTGCATAGTGAAAACGGTATATAGTATCCACAAACGCAACGATTTCCTTTTATTTTACCATGCAACACATATCACTGCAAACTGGACTTACTACTAAATTCCCACTTTCTTCATCTTGTTAGTATAAAGGAAAACTACTGCAAACTAAAACTAGTGCACTCAAGGTGGTTCTGTTCAAAGCATTTTTAAAGGTTATTCTGTAAAATTAATTAAGCATTTATCTATATACCTCTTGTAGGAGTTTTATGCCAAGCACTTCTGTGTCCTTACAAAGTTAAACTAAATAATATAATTAAATTAAGCTTTTTATGATATTAGAGGAATAAAGTGGCGGACTTACTACATGCAGTTGCAGTTATCGTGGATGATGTCTTTATATTCTAACTTTTATATTTTATGCCTTGTGCATGTGTACGTTTGTCTTAATCCCACCTATTGTGTCGGATGACAAGGTCACAGACTAAATTGATCGGATTAAATTCTTGGAATATTTCAAAATTTCACCATAGTCGGAAATGGCCTGAATTTATATGCACAATTCTGCGTCGTTATATTCTATTAACTGAAAATTGTTACTTTTCCATTTCATTGCAGTTTTTTCGAAGAAGCTCTTGTCGATAATTTTATATAAATTTTGAGTAAATGGAGCAAACTTAATCAGAGAAAATTTAGAACAAACGAAAAAATTAACCACAAATGAAGCAAACTTTTACAAGGACTCGATTGCTAAATGATTTCCTCTACAATTGGTGGAAGATGGTAGCTGTCAATTTTTATTGATTCAAGAACTGAATTTTAAGAACATCAATGAAAGCAAAGTCAATAGAGTGCCCACTCCAAGATGGTATTGTAATCGCTCGTGACAAATCCGAACATAAAAACTTTTGATACTTTCAAATTTGCAGGGGAAAATACAGAGTGAAAATCGCTGAAACGAATTAACACAATCATTTTTTGCTTCCACGATTTGTTTTTAGCCTTTCATTCCAATATCGATTTACTTCGTCAAGAAAAGGACGAGTTGGCGGAAACAATATGCTTAATACTATTCAAAGCAAGTGCGGCAATTTTGGAAAAGTTTTGCGTCCAACATTGAAAAAAAACTGTTTACATATTTTATTGTTCTTGATTTTTTGTTATAATCCCTTCTTAACTCTGTAATGAACCTTTCTTGTGGTTCGTATAAAGCTGGGGTGGAACTCAGCCGTCGCCAAGGTACACACAAGAAATTTATTTGGTGCGACCCAGTCACTTCTGATTGCTCCTAACACCTGAACCGAAACTAGCTGACCGACACGAGATTAAGTCGATGATGAACTGAGTTGGAGATATACGTTGTTGCAAATACTACCACGGCAGACAGCCGACACAATATAACACAGACACACGTGACTGTTAAAACTACGTGTGTTGCGTTATAGGTCGCAGATAACACGCCCTTCCCTGTTCACTGTTAAGGGGTCCAGGGGCCGGAGACGTTAGGTTACTGTTAAAGCTACCTTTCGCTTCCGACACTATGGTATAGACACACGTGACTGTTAAAGCTACGTGTGTTATACCCCTTGCAACCTAGATTCAGATACTGTTGACGCCCTGAATCTTGTATACCTATATCTCTCACTCTTGCCGTTGAGTTGGATTCCCTCTGTTAAATTTGCACCGTTCAGGAAAAGTTAGTATAAGATGTGCTTTACCAATTTTGTATCTGTTTAAGTATCTGTTTGCGTTTAGTGAAATACAATTTTTAATTTATTTTTCTCTTTTAATTTATTTGTTCATTAGAAAAGAAATTGTTAAGATTTATTTTATTAACAAATCAATAATTATGTACAACATTTAATTTATACGTACTCTTTATTTTGCTTTACATCCACTTGTAAAATTCAATTATTAAGCTCTCACAATTTATTAATACAAATTTTAAAATTTGGATATTAACAAATTTAATAATTTAATTAGTTTAATTTAATTTAAAATAATTTTTACTTACAAAATATTTCACTATGTTTGAGAAACTACAAAATTTCACTGTTGACACCGTCGTCTTAGTCAAGGAAATTTAGCTGCAGCTGAAGCCAGAACCAGGAGTCTGAACAAAAACAAGAGAGCTTCTTCTTGGTGAACGCTCTTTTTATCCCGTCCATGGTCAACGGTGTCAGCTGTAAAAACGTTAAAGTTTGTTGACCCAACATTAAAGCTCCTTTTCTGTAGCGCACAGAGCGAAAGTCTAGTTTCACGGCGAATTTGCATTTCTTTGAATACCTATTGCAATTTAGAAGTGGTTTTTGTCTGAGTTGCGATCCACTTCTACACCTTTTCTGCACAAAGCTTTCTTCGTTTGACAGGTCTCTTTATCATTATTTTGTTTTGATGTCGTTTGCCGGTGAACGTGTGTATTTAATTCTATTAATTAGAAAATTATTTTAAAATTATTTTAAAATAATTTTATTTTTCAATAAAGTTCCAGCAAAACCGAACACCCAACGATAGCTCAAGGTATATGTTTTATTGTTTTATTCAAAAATTGATTACGCACTAACCAATAATCTTCATACAATTTCAGAATTTTGTCAAGTGCAAAAGTTATATTAATGGCGGCAATAGATTGCGGTGAGTTAGTTTGTTAAATATTTTAATTATTAATTCACACATTTTTTTGTTACAGATGTTTTCAATAGTTTTATATAAGTGTTACTTGTTGTGTGTTAGGAAGCCGTGTTGTGTTTTGTAGGAAGCTATACCCACGGCGTTGTAACGATCAAATTTTTAATTAATAAAATTTTGTGTCGTACAACTCGTTTTACTCTTCCCAAGAATTCTAGCAATTCTTCAACCCCTTCGAACTGCACATTGCAAAATATTAATATACTATAGAAATCACCTCTTCATTTGGCAACAGTTTCTGCACTTTGAGACAGACTTTCAACTTCAGAAACAAAAAATAGTTACTTGAAGCCATATTTGATAGCAAGTTGGATGGTCACACAATTTAAAACTCAATTTGTCAATTTTAACCGTAACCACTACAAGGTGTACGTACATTGCTTTGTCGAAACAATATTCCAGCAATGTTGTAGGATTGGCTTCCATTTCCAAGGTGGCCAATCAGTGATCAACTTTTCTCATTACCATAATCTTCACCGTTTTAGGACCTTTTAAATTTTTACAATTCCCGGTTTTGATTGCACTTTGTTCTCCGAAATTTGATATTAATTCTTCTTTTTGTCAACATATATGAATTTCCGTAGAAAGCTTTAGTAAAAGCATTCAAATACTGCCTTATATATGCCTAAACTAGTGAGTCTTTCGTTAAGGGCAACAGAAACGAAAACTTCTTCTTGCACCAAAATCTTTCTTCTAAGTTGGGTTCCATCAATTAAGCTCAGAAGATCACGATTGATATCGTCTAAGCTCCACAAACTTTATTTAATTTAAGATGGCGTACTATTTATAAATAAAAAAAAGTTGAACCACAGCGGAATACCAGTTTCCTTTCATTTTCAAAAGCACTTGAAATAACATTTTAATATATTAGTAGTAAAAAGAGTTGATATTATCAGGGTTGCATTTTAAAGCATCAACTTCATGTTCATACGCAATATTTCTAGAACACTCCTTGTATTGGAGGTGCTTTACAAAACAAAATTTCCTTCTATAAAGTTTGTCCGTACTCCATATTCTAGAAATCACATGCAATATATATAAAATATGTAATAAAAATAGGACACTATAATCATACGTATATACTAAGCGTAAAATATATAATGATAGAATCCCTATATGAACTATAATGAATTAAAAAAAGCGGATATATCAGTGATAGTCAAACTCTTTAAATCTTTTTAATATTTGGCACGAGAAGTTGCGCTTTGGTGACCACCAATGGCACATCGTTAATGGTCTTAAATCCTAAGTTAAAAAGAGGATTGTTTTGTGCACATATGCACGTCCTTGACTTTTATTACAGGATATATTATCACATAAATCTAAGATTTTTTTGCTAGAGGAATTCAGTAATTGTTTTTCTAATATTAACGAAATGCTGCGATTCGAAACCTAAACAACCATTCACGCACCAACATAAAAATTAGATATTTTTTTTGGAAATGAAGTGCAAATGGAGCATTGGACTGAATTATAGTTTGTGGCTGGTTCAGAATTTTTGACTTGATGTATTAAATTTAAGCAATTCTAGGAAATTAAACAGAATAGTATTAACCTTGTTCATTTGCAAATAGACAGTTGCCTAGTAGTCGACTGGGATAAGCAACCATCGCCAGGTCATTGCATGTTTGTTTTTGTATAGTTTGGAAACGACGTTGCTAGTATGTTTGAACGTGTGACCGCAAGATGTTGTCCAGAGATTTAGTCACACGCGCATCTTTTATCTTTACAAATACTTATCTCTATGCCGGAAAAAACTTTCATACTTTTAAACATTTCGTGTTCTTCAGATACTTCGGTAGGGCTGTTTAAACAAACCAAGGACGTACATGAAGGGATCAAATGTGCAAGATAGAACAACTACAATTTCAGTACAATATCCTTTAAAATCCATTGTCGACCTACTTGATTACTAGGAATGAGAAAAGTGGAAATTCGCATTGATTTTCAAACAGGTAGTTTTGTCGTAACATGGAAGTTTGCATACAAATTTGCATGAAACAATCTCTCAGGCAAGAACAGCGAAAGGATTAACCGCATTTCTTTCATGTCGCACGGGTTTGCTTTCTGCACCTCTGCGGTTTGCAGAGTAACGGCCTTAATCATGTTCATTGTTTTAAATAATAAAGGACTTATAAAACAAAGGAAACAAAGAAATGCAGATACAAGCAGTAATCTCTTCGATTCTAGCATCAGTAAGTACATCGCTTATGATACTCGAATGTCTGAAAAGTGCCACTGTTGGCAGAGTAAATGCGTACCTTTGCTGCACTCTTCGCCCGGAATCATATCATTATAAATGTTACGATGAGCCTAATTCTCTGGCCTAAAGCCATCATAATAATTATCATCATGGTGTTCAGCAGCTCATATCATTGTCGATAGCAGGATAAAAGAGAGTGATTATCCTTATTTTTCTTTTCTATATTAGTACGAACACTCTGCTTTAGTTGATTATTAAAAGATTTTATTTAAATGAAATTAACTGGAAACAGCAGCACTTGTAGAGAAGCGTGGTGCCAATATATTCTACATCTTTGCGCCTTTTAAATCCTCGTAACAATAAGTTAATAAATAGAAATAGAATTTCTCGTACCTGTGCTAAAAGTTATACAAATTAATGATGCGGGAATTAGCATTACAAAAATTAAGTGATAAAACTTTTCAAAATTTTCTTTTAACATTCATTGCTATCTTAGAATATTATTACGAAATAGGTATTTACTAATAACATAAAACATTTTTTTCAATGAATAAATAAAATTCGTTGTTAAACATATAATCCATTATCCATACAATTATTCAAATACATGGATAGACTCAGATAGTTGTTTGATATGATATTGCCAACCACGATCATCCATTTGCAGACTTTATTTCCTTGAACAGACAAAATATCGGCCAAAGTTATATTCAGATTACTCAAGAACAAAGAAACAAGTTCAACTACTCGCTGGCAGACGGCCATCGCTAAAAGGTTCTAACGTTTATATTTCTCAAAAAACTTTCGAGAAGCTTAAAAATTCTCTTTTATTTTCTCAGCACCACTTTTAAAGTAGAATAAATCATTAAATCGGATTTTTAGACTGGTATATACTTTTTAATTTATAGTCCATCAGAGCTGATTTCAATTTACGTATTTTCAATATCTTCTTCTTCTATTCCCTATATTTCTGTTATGATAATCAAAAGCACAGTGAATTTATTTCTTTAGTAGGCTCGTTCTGATTAATGTCATGAAATATATTGTGTGCTGCATTCAACCAATCCCGAGTACGTCAATTTCTACAAACTGATGAACAATACAACCCCACTTTTCAGTAATCATATCTCAAGTTATATCCTTCGATGCAATTAAAAAAGAAAACGATTTGGTGTCCCGCGTGCCAATTATGATCGTAACGCCATTTCTCTTCTCTCTGTAAAAAATAATATAATACATCAATATATTTCCAGGATTTGAGGTACCTAAATCAATACTAGTTCAAACCATTTATCACTGTTCGAAAAGTGATAACAGAAATTAAGCAAGTTTGCACTCCAGAATGTTGAAATAGTAATAAAGGATCAAAAGGGACGTAGTTCTCATACTTACTCGTACTTCTTTCCTGCAATCTGTCATACTAAACTGGTTGCTGTTAGCACACTTCAGTTAATGTTACCAAGCTTTTGAACTGTAATAGAGAGAAGAAATTTGATCATCCACAGCTTATTAATTTTTTTTTTGATAAACTTACTGGTCACTTAAAATTATTTTCGATGCTTACGTATCGATGTAAACTGTAAGACTATTATCTAGAGTATTGCGCCTTTAGTAGATGTTTTAATTAACTGACCTATATACAATAAATGGAACTTAGAATTTAATAGCTTCAATAGTTTCTGTATGGATGTGTAGCGATCACCAAGGCCTCAAACACTACTATTTGCCAGCTAGAAATTGCACAAAGTCAGGCTCTGAGAAGACTTTTCAAGGTACCATACTACATTAGAACAAATAACATCCTCAGAGACCTCAAGATTCATCCGATCTAGAAATTCATAGAGGATAGAGCCCTGAAATTTTTTACGAAAACTAACAAGCTTACCAACACCGAGTTATCGAATATAAGAATGGTTACAGGCTCTTCGGGGAGGTATGCAGATATAAGGTTAGTTATTGCTTAGTCTGAAATTGGTTACAGGCTCTTCAGGAAGGTGTGCAGATCTGAGTTTAGTTATTGCTTAGTTGAAACTTTCAATGTTCTTCGGTTAGATATTTATTATCCAGTTTTGCATATAAAAATGTTGATGAATTTAAACAAAACAAAAATTGTGTAATTACACGGATGCGTAAAGTTGAATAAAATGATTAAAAAACTGAAAAGTCGCAATTCGGTATTACGATATAAAAGAAAAATAGTGAAAATGCAGAGAACTAACGTAAATAGGAAAAAAAACTATGCCCAAATCAGAAGAGTCGTCGGGTGTCCTTTATGAAGCTAACTGTAAATACTGCCATCCCACATCCACCAAACATCAAAAACGTGTACTTGTGGTCAGGTCGTTTGTACTTTTCCTATTTTTTGTTCCTACAATACTTTTTTATGTATTATTGTGTACTTATCTGGACGAATCTTCATGTCGGATAACTCTCCAATTTACGCAGTATGAACTGATAGTTTATTGAGTAAATATCGCTCAGGAGTATTGTATAGTTGAAGCTAAGTTTTAAGTAAACTTCTCTAAGAACGAGTTTTATTTTTGGTCCGTGTATCTAAGTTAAGCAATTGTGAAAAAATGTAAAAGTTATGTGGCGCCTTTAAAACAAAACAAAAGCCTCCTGAAAACCGAGAGCTTAGTTAAAAATTTCAGCTCAATTAGGCCACAATTGCAGAATTTACAGGTATTCTGAAATATATTTATTAAATTTTCATAGTCCTGTACGGAACCAGAGGCGAAAACTCACCTACCCCTACGTTGGATACGCCATTATAATAGCATTGTGTCCTAAATGTACTCGTATTGCATGTTAAGCATTAATTTATATAAAAACTTGCATATCATAATGGCTTTTACATACATATAGGTCCGCATTATGCTTGTACGGTAGAGAATTAGGATGAGGCAGGTTGATTAGTTTAGGAGTGGTGAAATGGGCAGCAGTGTACGAAAACTGGTGCAGAGGTTTTTCTTAAGTGTACTGAGAATGAATTTATGTAGCAGACATGTTGTAGATATCATAAATACACTTCGTTGCCATACTCAACGCGCTTGCCGTACATTTATATCATTTAGTATTTAAATTTAGAGGAGGTGTGGTTTATGTAGTGCCATAAACATCCTCTTAGTATATTTCATATGTATTTACATCTGCAAACAATATTTTTGTTGTGCACAAATCAAGAGTAAAAATTCGAAAGAAAATAAAAGGAAGAAATTTCATTCTTCCTACATATAAAAAATATTTATTTATTATGCTTTCATCCCTTTTTTTCAGCACAGTGACTGTTCTCGTGTAAATGAAACAACACATCAAATGAAATAGAAACATGTAAAAGGAGTGCGAAATATTGCGCTCCCTGTTCTTTATACGTACTTTATGCTTTGCTGAGAACTAATACCTATCGCTCTTCTCTGCATATACTGTAGTATGCAACATATATCTACCTCACTCGCACACACACACCTTCAAGCTAATTTGGAAATATATACAAACTCTTGCGCAGAAACGAGTTCATCACTGTACCGTCACAAAAGGTATTTCTCGGGCTGCATTGATCAGTTTCAAATCAACGTTCATTAGTTCGGGTTCATAGTGTTTGTGTTGTCAATCGTTCGCGTTTTTAAGCGTCGTCGCCGTCGCATCCACAATATTTCAAAAGAAATTTGGAAAATTTTAATTATTGAAATAATTATTATTTTTCCCGCGGTAATTAATACTATACATAATTTTTAAAATCAATAATTTTTAATCAATTTTTAATAAAAAGTGTTCATTATGATGCAATAAATGTCGCAGACCTAATAGATAAATTTTGTAGAAATGCAATATTAAAGTTTTGTCACAAGTTCAGTGAATTTTAAGTCAAATATTTCAATAAACAACAACAAAAGTTAAATTATTTAAAAAAAATACAGCAAATTAATATCGACTAACACTTCAATACCAGCTCTTTTGGAATACCTGATTTAGTTTTTACCTAACTTTAACTTTTTGCACTTGATTTAGCAGTTTTCTTGCTATAGTTTTAAAATTTTTTAAAAGATTGATGTGTAGACTATTTTTTTTTAAATAGCTTAATTTGCGCCCAAAGCGAATAATTTACGAGCCCAAATTATTGCTACGGATATCCAGCAACAAGTTCAGTTACGCACTCAACGCAATACATCCAACTATCAGAAAATTTGCTGCTTTGGAAGAAAAGCTATCAAGCAATTGGAATTGGTGAGTCAATAACTTAGTCCTTTAAATTAAATCCTTGCCTAGTTATTAAATAATAAAAATATTCCTTACGTGAGTATGGGCCAGTATACTTTTTGTGTGTTACTATTGTCACGATAAACAAGAAAACACCCGTCGGATATTGAGTTTGTGTATATTATCTGGTACCAGTTGTCTTCAGACATTGCCTTCAACTCTCAATGATACATTTAACCTAGGGCTGTCCAAAGCACGGCCCGCGGTTGTCATGCGGCCAACGGCTTATATTTGTGCGGCCCGCGACATGTTTCTAATCTACCACAATAAGGCAAATTTTTCTTTGTTATATATTAGTAACATCACAGTATTTTTTCTTTGTGGTATCGCAAATAAATGAATTAAAATTTTTTAAATAATTTATTACACTTAACGTTAATTTTCTTAATTGGTGAAAACTTTAGTATATATTTCTTTGTATAACTGATAAAAAAATTCGTATCCAGCCGTAAGTCATTTTACTAAAAATAAAATATTTTTCGTATGGCAATAAATGGACGTACGTATTTATTTCTGCGGCTCTCCAACCTGGCTAGTAATTTGTATTTGCCTGCGGCCTGCACTGGTCTGGACAGTCCTGATTTAAACTATTCTCACATTTGATTCACTTGGCATAACGCAATTATAATAGTACCTTATCTAAGTTATAACATCTTATATTTTGTAATTAATTATATGAAAAAAAAAATATCTTTACTTACAACGATTGGGATAATTTTGTAATTAGATGGCTAATTATAATTTGTTTATATTAATCGTTGACCTGGCCAAGTTCCTTCTTATTTTCCTATTTTTATACAGATATTGATACAATAATATTGATAGATACAATAATAACAAATACTTTTAACAAGTTTTGAACTCAGACAATATAAGCTCGTCCTTAAAATGATTTCTATCATTAAAGGATCCTTTTTATAGAAATACCATCCTTGTCCCAAGACTTCGCATGAAAAATAAAGGTAAATGTAAATATGGGCGTTCCGACGTTAAATTAACATCTCTTCTCACTCCCATTTTTTGCAAAATTTGAAACTAGCAACATAAAATGTTACTAAAGCTTCAATTTCCTTTGCACTTGCAATGAAGTTATATTGAAATTGAGATATGTTCTTTCTGCAGAATTCTCGCAAAATTATCGCAGGTAAATTGAAGAGTTAATTATTTGCGATCTATATTGTATAGCGCATTAACAAGTTTCTTTACGCTTTTTCGAAATACGGAAGAGATTTCCAGAATTTCCCAAATTGACCTTCTTTATATGATGATATTGTATCATAATGCTCAAAATCTTAAACGGGTTCAATTTTTGTGAAATTGAAATGATTTCAGAGCAGTAAAATAATATTCGAGTTGTATGTTAGGAGGGTATATGTAATATTTTTCTGGAAATACTTATGGCAAGAACGATTTTTCATGATCTTCATTTTCAACATCATCTCTTGCCTACGACATAAACATAAATATATAATAATAACACAACTATTGAAATATTAGGCAAAAATGGTAAAGGTATAGATACAAGACTGAGTATACTTACGGATGTAAACTGTAGGTTCTGCGAAGAGAATGAGGAGTCGGTCACACGTGTGTTGTTAGAATGTCCTGCGCTATTGCACATACGGAATAGGCTTCTGCGAATGTATATTCTCACGGAAGAGGCAATAAAACTTTGTAAACTAGATTATATACTACTTTTTATTGACACAACAGGGCTCAGAGACCTACTCAAAACCCAGAAGGGGGCACAATAGACCTGACGGTCGCAGTAATAATAATAATAACAATAATAAAGTTAATAATAAAGGTATCGATCAGCTGGATCTATAAGAGAAGCGTTGTGCTTAGAGTGAGTTAGTGATAAATACGTCAAAATTTATTTATCGATTTTGTAATACAATAAATTTTGTTATGATTTATAACTTGAAATGTTTAATTATAAAATATTTCTGTGCTAACAGATTTCCAACATACGCGCTTTATGATATGACCCATATATGGTCGTATAAATATGTACATATATGTGTGTTGCTTAAGTACAGAAACTCCCACCAAAGGAAACCAATAAATTAATTTGTATACTTTCCATGGTTGCTTTCTTTCCTCATATTCGAACTTACACATTTTTATAGTTACAATAAATAATAATAAAAAATAATTCAATGCTTTCAATTCCTTAAGACAATGCAAAAACTTACTCCTCGATGTGCAACATGGCTAAGAGTAAATATTCAAACTTGGATCTTTCAAGTTTCACGAAAGTCAACCAAACCCAAGTCACAAAAGCATAATACGGTTCATTATTCACACATTCTGAGAGCAGCTTCTACTCTTTTTCTAACCACAAATTTAGTAAGCAAATGCTAACATTTATATGCGCTGTGAACGTTAGATTCCTAATGGAAGTTATAAATTATATTTCGAAAGATATTCTTGTTGATGTTTTGGTTTCTGTTGCTTTTAGTCGAAGAAACGCTTTTAATGCGTGTATCACTTTGTTTAGCATTTCGATACAAATTTTTAGTATATTTTAATAATTGTTGACTGGAGACGACGGTAAGCGGGTAAAAAAGACCGAAGAAATTTGCATATTGAATATATTTAAGTGTGCGGGAAATTCAGAGGTATATGATTTAGAGAGGGGGTTTCCTAATCAATATTTTCAAAAACATAACAAAAAGAAGAAACCGGTCTGCATTTTAATGTTTGTCCGATAAAGTTAAAATTGACTCTAAACGGACGCAGCAGCAAGAAGAATAGACAGACTAGAGAAAGCCGTAGTGGTGATGATTTTAAGAATAACTTGAATTCAAATTAACTAAATGAAATCATTATTGAAAATTAACATTTGAAATATTTTTGAACATATAATAGATAAGCACTTGCAATTACTACAAATTCAGATTCAAATTGAGATTTATCAGTCAAGCACATGTCATGCGTCGCCAATGCTTGAGTTGCAGTTCCAAATCTATTTTAAACTTAACACCACAACACCAAAAAAGCCAATAAGGGAAATTAAAAATATGAAAAAGGTGTTATACTTAAAATAAATTGAATATCCATACACTTCAAAAATCGAGCCTCCCACACAATTGATGTGGTTCCATTACAAAATTTGTTGGTACAAATAAAGCAGAAAAAAAACCTTAATAGAAATTCATTCATTCAATTTTAAAAATTTTGATTAATAAGTCATGTGCGTAGTTTCTGCTCAAAGGTAAACACATAAATTGGAGTAAAAATAAAATAAGAAAAAATGTAGAAATATCGATACCTTATCTGAGGTAGTACGCGAACCACAAATCTAAGTCACTGAGCTGAGCTGAAAAACTGAATCAACCTTAAGAACAATCACACATGCCTGCCAGTTGGTGTATCGATCACACTTAACCACCACTCACGTTTTCATCTATTTTCATCTATTCTGAATCAGTTCGAAATCTCAAGTCAATCAAAATACTTTGGGACTCCGCTTGAAGTTGCTATTGTATTCGAAACTGTCTCCTATGTTCGTTTTTCGACGAGATACTGGTCGAAACCATTAGATAGGCGCGTGAGTGACTGAAATTTCGTATTCCGTATTCCGTATTTCGTATTTCGTATTTTCAATAACTTTAATTATATTTTTCTTTTGTACACCTTGACGCGAGCACTGATAGGAGCGCACCTTTTTTAAGTTGACAAAGCCATTTAAATAGAAATGATCATTCAAAGTATACGCAGCTATCAAGATCGGACACAAAGAAGATATTTTTTTTACTCAAATAGATGAAATGGATGACGTAACGCTAGTGCTGTCAATTTCAAAACAACCAAAATAATCACAGTAATGTAATGCCAATTACTGAGCCACTTCAGCGCACAAACACGGCGCAGCCAGAAAACTAATTAGATAAACAAAAAATTTCTTCATTTTAATAAATAAATTCATTAATAAAAATAGATTATTTTTTATTGATCTTCCGAGCGTAATTTTATTATTAATTTGGAAAAAATTTATTGCTTTTGGAGGAAAGCCAGAAGGAGGCAAAGCACAGTATAGTATATATATAGGGTATATATTTGTATCAAAATGCGTGGAGTGTTCTGCGAATATATAAGCTTTGACATTTCAATGATTTGTTTTGACATTGTTTGTCTTCCACATAAAGGATAAAAACAAAAAAATAGGGCAAAATATTTTTCCCACCAATAAATAAAAAACGATTTTTTGACGTATTGGTATATTACCAATTCCACTATATATTTCTTACTATACATTAATATATGTCAGTGGTTACTTCATTCATAATTAATGATATTTTAAAATTTTTTCCCATTCCACTTGTTGTGCGCTACTGGAATCAGACCTGCATTAAAGAAGAAACAGCTCGGCTGCCTCAAATGAGCCGTCGTACCATTGGAAAATTGTATTCTCATGTAAAAAAAAAGATATGGAGACTAATGTATCTCAATAAACTTAGGAGCAGTTTAACAGCAGGTTATCTTGTCGTGTAAGCATTTGCAGAACGGTAGTGCAGTAGTCACTCAGCCATCCAGCCACTCAGCCACTCAGCCACTTAGTCAGCTAGAGTCAACTCGTCAATTCAGTCACTACCACATTTTCTAATTTACTTACTTATGGTATGTGGAGGCTTCTGCATGTGTATTATATTTTTATTGGAAAGGCACATGTCTTGGAGCGTTTTCTCTTGATTGAAATTCACTTTGGCGTTTAATTCGGCGTTTTTAATAGTTGTAAAATTGTATTTCTATTTTAATATTTTAACATTTTAATAACAATGCGACACACGATGGAATGATAAGTTAGGAGACAACATGCCACCATGTTTCCATAGCGGTTGTGATTGCGACTTAACGTTGGGATTAAGGAAATGTAACCGTAATCGCAAGTGGAATAGTCGTCACAATTATGTCCCTCCAAATGCTCCTCGGCAAGCAATTATAAGTCCACAACAACTTTTTTTTAAAACAACTTTGGCCATTAAACGAAGACTGAAGGTAAAGTCAAAGCTGGCATGCAAAAGCAAGCTGATGCAGAAAATGCCAGTTAGAAACTTGTTTACTTGGGTGTGAAGTATTTGGATTTTCTGATTTGCTTTCATGTGACTTTTCATTTTTGTTTCATTTTGCAGCATCGCCCCTCATGTCCCTCAAACGCATATCGTTCTTCCATCTTCCATGCACTTCACAATATAATAATATTGTAATTATAAAAAATTTTAAACTCAGCTTGAAGTTTAATTAACGTTCGTGCCAAAAATCAAAAAAGTGTGAAGATTTGACAAGTTTAAGACTATTAACTGAATAACGTGGCCTAGAATTACACATTACACATTAATACGCGTTTAGAACTTGTTTCAGTTTTGTTGTAGTTTTAATTAGTTTCTCAATGTAAAACGTACTCTAGTGTAACGTAATGAAAATGTCATTAATGTCAATTCCAGAAATATTCATCCTTTCAAACTAATCTTAATAATCATTTTCATTAGACGACTACTACGCGCATGTGTAGCTGTGCATTTGTGCATTTGTGCAGTTGTGCAGTTGTGTAGTTGTGTAGTCGTATAGCCGTGTTCTATACTAAGACCAAAAGAACTCACAAACAAACGAGCGGTTTTGAATTCCTTGACTAAACGGCGTCACCCAACAACGCACAAAGAAAATATGGATATGAGGAAATATTAGCTTCCCTTTTGCTACCGAATGCTTCGCAATTACAATATTTCATGAATTGTGGGGATTTCAACGTTCTCCAATGTCAGGTTCAAATATTAGGCATTAATTGGTTAGCCATTAATTGATTGTGTAGATTTGTGCTTGAATAATCATTACGAGTATCACACATTATTCGTAGGAAGTTCTCTGAACTTTTAGTAATCACTTAATAGGATTACATCTCTCCGGTATGATTATATGATTAATTCATTTAACTATGCAAGCTAAAATGTAATCATTGAAAAATGAATAATAAAATATTTTGGTTCAACGTAACGTATAGAACGTATTTTTCAACAGAACTTTGTCCTTAGATCAAGGTAATTTTACTATGTCAAGAACGGGATACTAGTATCCCTACGCTTACTTTCTAAGCAACATAATTGGCATGAATTAGACCTGTTAAGCATTCATAGATCAAAAATATATGAATTTGAAATAAACATGATCTTAAATCTGAATATATCAGATATTCAGCTTATCAGCCAACGTCAAATTGTGAGCAAACTTGCTGGAAAAAGTTCTTCAGTCTAATAACCTTCATTGGGAGCTGTCATTCTGTCACTTTGTTGTTGGCTAATGCAGCTGATGGGAATACTCCTACAGGTTTTTATTTTACCATTTTTATTTCAAATCCAAGTACTACTAACCAGCATACATTGTTCATTCTAAGTTTGCCTAACGTTGTCTAATGATGTTCGCTAATTTGGGAATTTGAGAATTTCAAATTTCTTAATGATCATTCCAACAGATCCAACGCAGTTCCCATCTATTGAATTTTAGCATTTCGAAAGCACTTGAGTTCGACTCGATATTGAGTGTGTTTATTTTCCTAAGGCTGTTTACCTTCACTGCTACCGTAAGTAAAATATTATTTTGGCCGTAATTACGGTGTTTTCACTACTGGAAATATAACAAAAAGTGCGGGCAGAGCCTAGCAGTTGTAATAAAGAGTCCAAATAAAGTGAAGTGCCCTAAAAATTAACCAACAGAAATAACATTTCGGTAAATAAAAACTGATATTCAGAACAAAGTTGGCTGGTTGGTTTCATTGAAATCACTTAAGGCTATGAGCACCTACAAGTAAGGTGGAGAGTAATGATGAACGAATCTGTTTAATCACCATTGTGTGTACTGTGTGTCTTCGGATGCGTTGCAAATGTTGAAGCAGCGGAAGCAGATATTGAAAGTAAAAATTTGAGTTTTAATGAAATCGTACGTGATAAAAACATTGAAAAACGATTTTACTAAAATAAAAAGAAAAAACTTATATAAAAAAATGTCTTCTACTGAAAGAGAAAATCCACAGAAACAACCACTTCTGATTTTTGCCCAGTTGATGCGTTCCATTTCTAACGAATCATATTTTTGGCTTTCCGTACTGAAAATGCGTAACTCTTATGTTCTGTAACTCTCACATGTGCAATATCATGATGTGATACCTTCTCATGCTTGTTTATTATATCTGTTATGGCATTAAACTTCATAAACAGGAAAACATCACGTTCAATGTTGAACGAATTTAATAATTAAAATATTATAACAATAAACTAAAATAATTGTGTTTTCACAATACATTTTTTACATTGGAACCAACCATTATTTTAGAACCAACGGAAATTGAAATATATTTGGAACTCGAATTAGGTTAACATGAAAATACGAGTAACTCATATACAATCGTGCCGGGGCTTCTCTTCAGTTTCGGTTATACTTTGATCTTTTCTATTTTCCATTAGCAAAGGACAGGATTAAACAGGCACCTACTTAAATTTTTCAAAATTAATCCTGTGCCTTGGATTAAATTTTATTGTATGTATGTATTTAAAATTAGTATGCTCTTACATACACATACAGTATACATACAGTAATGTTTGCACTTTTTTGTATGTGCAAAAATATTCCTTTGTAGATATTTTATGCCGAAAAGTTTTAGCACTCAATTATCATAGTTGCAGGATTAGGTGCTGCGGTAGACGTACTTTTGTGCTGGTGACAATTGTAATCTAGCAAAAGATACACACATTCATTTTCAGATAAACTCTCTTGTTAGCTCATCCACACCTTCAGGTATCCTAGGTTTCAGTTGCCAATAATATTTGGTCTACCACATACACTGCCAGAGCGATTTAGTTTAAAAATTCAACTCAATTTTGATCAAAAATTTTTGTTTCTGCCTTGGATTGTTATTTTGTGTCAGGCTTACTTTATTCATTCGAAATTAGTTTTGTTGTGCCATATCGTTTTCACGTTTCATTGCATTTCAATGCACTCTCAGGAAACCAAATACTCTACTTAGCACTCGACCCCAAATTATATGCTTATTCGCACAGGCAAATTAATAATGCATCTGTCTGAAATTTAAAATCATTGTCTTTCGTTCGCACTGAGCAATATTTTGACAATATCCAATCGGTCTGCTACGTCCTAGAACACACTATCTCTTTTTGTAACGGGAGTTATTGATTTTTGCTTAAATATACATTGGACTTTTCACTGAAATTCAATATAATTATTATATATAATTCAGTTACTATTTAACTTATCTGTTTCTATTTTTAGTATATCTAGCGGTAAGCAACAAACATCACAGTGGCTCTTCACTCTACAGAAGCCTTGATGGCTGCCGGATTTCTGAAGTCCGGAGATTTGGGACCACATCCACACAGTTATGGAGGTCCACATCCACATCATTCGGTACCACATGGACCGTTACCACCGGGCATGCCTATGCCGTCGCTCGGACCCTTCGGATTACCTCACGGTTTAGAAGCTGTTGGGTTCTCCCAAGGTATGTGGGGTAAATATCGCACCAATTTTGGTTAAAACATTTTTTTTAAGAAATGCAGTGAAATTTAAAGCAAATTACTGCATTCAAATTGATTTAAGAATGAGAGTAACTTGTTTTAATAGTTCAGAAAACGAAGTAAAATTATCTGATTCATTGTCTCGGCATTTAATTTTTATTTCACTCTTATTTTTTAATTATTTTAGTAGTATTAAATAAGTAGTAGGCATTTGTATAAAGGTATATACAATTTAGCTCATTGCTAAACGTAACATGTGAATTCTAGTAAATCGCCACTGCAGTGCCGATTCCTTTAAACCTTGCCGTGACTCGCGTGCGTACGTAAGGATGCTTATCGAGCAAAAATGATCCATAAAATGTTATTAAAATTGAGGACAAAATATTGATTTAACATTGATATCTGAATTGAAATGAATGCAAAGACAAATGAGTTCACTTGGAACTCACGATGGATATTCGTTGCCGATCATTAAAAACATTTTTGCCGTGGAAGTTGCGAACATTTGTATGCGGATTCCCTACTGTATCAACCAAATGTCAAATCGATTTTCACTTGTGTCTCTTGCGCTGAGAGATTGTCCGTTATCAATGACATTGTCTGAATAAATAATGGATTCACAGAGATGATGTTAACATGAACAGAGTATAAAAAATAACATTTATATTAAAAATGTTTCTATACAGATTTCTAAATGATAATTTAATGTTTTAAGATTATTAAATATACTCTTTGCTGATGAAGTGTCTAAACAAACGATTTGTGAAGTTGGCGCTGAGCTAAATCTAATTACAGTACCGATTATTTTCAGCGATATAAATACAGTACAGTAAATACGCGTTTATTTAAACTTGATGGTGTTTATTGTGATGTTGGCTTCATTGAAACAAGTTTTCGACCATTCCAATTGATGTATCACCACTGAAAGTAAATATCTGATGTCAACCATTGCGTCGACAGCTGCAACTTTTGCCGTTTATTTTATAATTCTCAACAAAATAAAGTAGATATAAAAAATGACTTCTCAGTGCCTCCATATTTTTTATGCCAAACAAACACCCTAAACAAAACAAAAAAAAAACAAGAATAATGATTCTCTGTTTAAAACAAAAACAAAGGGTATTAAATAAAAAATATTCAAAGAATGTGGATTCGGCGGCAACGACTGTGGGTTCAATAAAGCAAAGGGTGTGTAGTTACAAACTAAAACCTAAGAGCCAAGCATCCCTACTGGCGATATTAGCGTAGTTGACAATTTTTTTTTTTTGGAATAGAGTATTATGTAAAACTAACAAAAACCTATATTCAACTTTCACGTACTACGCACGAATCCCCGCAACAAAACTGAATGAAGCACGAGATCTATGCAGAAACGGCAGGAGAATAGGAACTGCAATAAACAACGATTATGTTTATACTGTTTCTACACCACAAAGGATACGCCATGTGCATTATTTTTTAATTCATATGTACATACGAAAAGTATATACCCGAAATCGCTTCTTGTACAAATATCAGCCAGCTAGCCTGACGTCTAGATGACTCTATTGGCAGCAGATTATGATAGCTGCGCGGGCAAAGACTGGTTGAGTACATAAGTAAATAACGACAAGGGTAAAATTGAAAAGACTAGGAATTCGTATGTTTAACAGGGTTGAATTCGAAAAGAGAACTGTTATACTCATAGTAAAGTTACGTATTTTCAGTATGTACACGATTTCTATGTTATATTATCTACGTTAATATTTCTATTATTATAATTTTGATTTAGAATTCGTTAAAATATTTTCGTTCCTCGCAATCACAATACTCTTTGACAATTAAGGACATTGCTTATTATAAAATAAACAATTTTTTATATTTGCTGAGATACTTCAACAGGTCAAATTACTGAAGCATATATTACAAGTACTAACATCAAAACTAATCTAATATAATATTTACTTATAATTTTCAATGTGGTAGGATTTCCGCTTTCTAACTTTGAAGAATTTCATACCACAAACTATATCAGTCCAAAAATAATGTTCAAAAATGTGATCACTATTAATATTCTAATTAAATTTCATTATTAATAAGATATGTAGTTAATTTTTTGATTTACTTTTTATAGTATATCTGAAGTAGAATAAACTATTTAAATAAACATGTGCTATTTAGTGCTAATTATTAGTATAATATTTTAATTTATTACAGTGTCGCCATAAAATATTTAATTATAATTTTCAATGTATTAGGACTTTCGCTAAGGAAGCAGAAAATCCAAACAATAAGAGTTCTCGCTTTGGAGCAAGATATTCCGCTTTTAGTAGAATACTCACTTAGGAGCAAGATATTCCGCTTTTTGTAGTTTTCACTAAGGGAGCAAAATATTGATGTCAGTTAAAGTCTGAAGATCGATTTCAACTGATAGCAATATATTGCTCCCTTAACGAAAATTGCTAAAAGCAGAATATCTTCCTCCTAAGCGAGAATTCTTATTGTTGGGATATTCTGCTCCCTTAGTGAAAGTCCTAATGCATTAAAAATTATTGGTAAATATTGTATGGCGACACTGTCATAAATTAAAATATAATACTAATAATTAGCACTAAATTGTACATGTTTACTTAAATAGTTGATTCTACTCCAGATATACTATTAAAAGTAAATCAAAAAATTAACTACATATCTTATTAATAATGGAATTTAATCAGAATATTAATAGCGATCGCATTTTTAAACATTATTTTTGAACTGATGAAATTTGAGATGTGAAATTCTTCGAAGCTAGAAAGCGATTTCTGAGCTTTCTGAAACTCTGAGCATGTAGCAGTCACGTATAAAATTCACCGTTTCCATGACAAAAAATTTTTATTTGCCCGAAAAATAAAAATGTGTGTTTTATTAAAAAAAAAAAAAAAATTAATTTCAGATTTGTAATATTCTTCAATATAATTCATTGACTTTTGTGAGTTTTGTTTTATTAAATTTGAATATTTATTAAACACAAAGATGATTTCAAGGCTTTTATTAATATTTGTCATTATTTTTTCAAACTTAAAATCATTTACACATATTGACAATGAATGCTGTGTATTCAAATAAGATAAAATGAATCCATTATCATAACATTCGATTTCACTGCATTGTTAGGCAACAAATTATTGCTTATAGTTACTTACATCATTCCATTATTGCAGGTGTGAACACCAGGAAACAACGGCGCGAAAGAACTACATTCACGAGGGCACAACTGGACGTTCTTGAGGCACTTTTTGGCAAAACTCGCTATCCTGATATATTCATGCGTGAAGAAGTGGCACTTAAAATCAATTTACCAGAGTCAAGAGTACAGGTAAGGGAAAACCAAAAAACAAAAAACAGTTTTTTCGAAATCTTCAGAGTTGAAGCCTTCAGCCTTCAACCTTTAACAGCAACCACTAGATATTTTTTCTGCTATACCTGTAGTCAAGAATATACCATCCTCAGGGCAATATGGGTACTATACCCAGGTGCAAGCCTTTTTGGGGCGGTAACTATTATTGGCGATATGCGTTCTAGGTACCTATTGTTTTGTTGCAAAAAAAAAACAAAAAAATTGAAATTATAAAATGTCTGTAATAAGAGACTACTAATTAGTTTCAAAAAATTTGTTACTGTACTCATCCTATTCCGCTATTTACTGTTTATTCACCATTATTATTTTTTCTTTATAACTTACATGAAATTGGGTACAGATTATTCAGACAATTATTCTGAATATTCAGACAAGACAATTTTTAATCTGATAACAGTCATTTGAACCTGCAGTAGATTCAGTTTCTCAATAGTCTCTAAAGCGCAAAAACAGTTGCTAATGTAACAGAAACAGCCGTAATGTTGCCAAGAAATTATCCTCGCGCTGTTAAATGCGAACATTTATCAACAATTAGGATAATAGCAAAATCCTCAAATCCAAAGTGCAAACAAAGTTTGCTTCCAAAGTTGACAACAGCATATGGACATGTGTGCTTCTAAGCGATTACGCGTTATCACTTTTGGCTAGCGGCGGGAACTGTTAACAACTTAACTTGCTTACTGCGCTTACACGGCTGCAGTGGTAAATATCTCTGCTGCTTAAGCAAACATTGCTGGTGTGTCACAAACTAACTTGAAATGAATGCAACATTCTGACGAACTCGGCAACAGAGCAAAATGGCAAAGACGACGAGTTACCCTCTATTAACGGATTTGTTTGCACAACTCGATGACAAATTTTGAACATGATATGAAAATATTTTAGGAAAGTACCGGACGAGATGGGCACCCAGAACGAAAGGGATTGGGAAATTTCAAATAAATACTGGCAACTACTGTTTTCGTTGTTATTGTTATTGTTTTACTTAAATTGGTTGTTGCCAATGTGCGTAAGATTTGTCTGCAATATCATTCTTGTTTACTTAGGTGTGTTTGCTGTGATTTATTTAGATTTTTATTTGCTTTTCCTGGCATTGTTCCTGGCTCTTAGCGAAATGTAACACACCACAATGACATAATTATTCCGAATAACAGAAGCGAGCGGTATCCTTAATATTTTTCTAGCCTCATATGACTGACTGCCTTTCGCCGTTGGCCAAATTATTCAACAGCAAAAGAGCAACAATACAAAATTATCAGCTACAGCTACTCGCAAATAAAGAAAAAAACGCAGTCCTGTGAAAATGCATATAGCTTGAAGCAAAAAATGTCCTTTTTGCACTATTGCCTGCCGCATACATATATAGGTATCATGTGACTAAGAGTACTGATTTCAAAGAGATAAAATGGAAAAATAATGTGAATTGAGATGTCAACTGAACGCTGTAAGAATATGCCTGGAATCACTAAGTTTGTCCATCAATTGAACATGACAAGCAAAACAAAATAATAATAGATGTATTTTAGGTTTTAGCTGTAATGATTTCTGTAAACACAGCCGCCAAGAAGTTGATTTGAACTGCACCAACTGAACCGACACATAAATGCACATCTACATCTACTTCGAACGCATATAGGAATCAGTTTAAATTTAGAAATAAGCAGAAAAGATATGGAAATGAAATTTGCGAAAATCGATAATTTGTAATTTAAGGACGTGACATTGAATATGAATGCAAGTATAAGAAACAATTGAAACAATAAAAATTCAAACCAATAGTTAACATGGAATTGGATATGAACGTGTTCTTTGGATGTTAAAAAGCAATGGGAAGCCATTCCAATTGTCGCATGGACAAAATTCTTTAAATTTGTTGAAACAATCGCAATCAATACGACCGTAACACTACGAACTGAACTCAAACTGAAAAACGACACGTTCCAGCGCGTGAATAGGACAGGACATTGCTTAAGTGCAATCAAGCAGTCGAAATCGATCGATTACCTGTGACTGGAGTGAGAGTGCAACTCAAAATATTCGTTCATTCAATGCCCACAGACGAGCTAGCCGCTGTCACTTTATGGTATCCTTCGTATGCTATGCTTCTTCTATTTGTTTTTCAAGAAATATATTTTTCTTTATTGGAATATTGTATTTCGTCTGCTAACTATTTTCGTTCGAGAGCGGCAAATCGGTCAATGTTCTTTATAAACTTTTTAAGACAAGTAGCCATCCAACAACTGCAATAGATCCAACAACAACAAGTATGCAATTTGCAAAGTAATTTAAGTGTGTACTTCGATTCAATTTCAAATGTCTTCGCTCATTAACAATAATGAATCTTTTAATTCATTAACTGTTACCAACTTATGACTTCATTATTGTTTACAAAATATTTTAAATTTATTAGTTTGGTACTTTATAAATTCAGAAATGAAAATCTTAATGCTAAGAACATGAAATTGATATATAACCAAATAACTCGTCCGTCACTTCTATATGGATGTGTAGCGTTTAGCAAAGCTTCAAACACTACTATTCGCCAGCTCGAAATTGCACAAAGCCACGCTCTGCAAAGACTTTTCAAAGTACCATGGTATATTAGGACGAATGACATCTTCAGGGACTTCAAGATTTATCCCATCAAAAAATACTGACAGGCTTACCAACACCGCGTTATCAAATCTCAGAATGGTTACAGGCTCCTCGGGGAGGTATGCAGATCTGAGGTCAATTATTGCTTAGTCTGATAAAGTGATAAACAATAATCTAGTCAAGGCGTAAAGAGGAGTTTTGAAAATAACTAGAGTTAAGAAAGAGTAAAAGTGATTAAGTGCACTGTCTCAAATAGCTTCAACATAATATAAATTTTACTGCATGATAACGATTAATTAAAAGATAATATTTTAAAAAGATTTTATTATAACTACAAGTGAATTACATTTAAATCTGTTCAGCCGCCGCTGGCCTGGCGCTAAGAATTGGATAACCGTGGATAATCAATATACCGTGCAGAGTTGATGGGATATCATTAGTTTCTTGCTACGAATTTATTTGTTGGATTGTATTGCAGAATTCAACTAATACATAGATTTTATCAGTTCTATCCACAATCACTTGCAATCATGTACTTTAGTAAATGATATTATTTCTTTTAAAGCGTTTCTTCAAGTGAAAACCTAAGTGTTTTGCATTTCGGTTTCGTTGAAGAAACCTCTTATAGAAAAAATAAACTAGAGGGCATTAACATCGCCAAATGGTATATATCTAATGTCATTTTAACTGTTTATATTAAAACTGTTAACAAAACAGTATTCTTTTGCGATATGGCGCAAATATAATATATCGATAGATGTTTTATAAAAATTGGCTTTTTACCTGTAATAAGTGTTAGACCAGGAATATGATATTGTAACAACGCGGATAAGATCGTCTATTTTTCTTGCTATTTTTGCATAAAATTTTGCTATAAAATTCTGATATTTTATATACGATTTAAGTCACAATTGCTCTGAGTCATTGTTTTATATAATGGCAGCCCATGCTTAACCTTGTGCAATCCTAAACTAATAAAATATATATAGTAAAATATTTGTGATTTTCTATGGATTTGCTTAATTCATGAATAATTTGCAAAGATAAATTGAAACTGGAATAATTCATTCAAAATTATTCCACACAATGATTGTGTTGAACAATTTTTTCTTTCCAGTGAATTACAAAGAGCTCCACAAATTCAAATCGAGTAAAGAGAATTGAATACATTAGACTTCAATATATTAAATTTTAGATGAATTTTTTGACACTTCATTTATACAATTGAAGAGTTTACAAAAATGCCAAAATTGCCAAAACAAACAAATAACGTAACTCTATTTTTAATCACCGTATCCTAATGCTAAGTAGAAGGTTTGTAATTAATTATAAATTAACAAAAAGCTACATAAACTATTTTTAACTAGATAAGTAAATAAATTTTTGAGCTGCTTGTTAAATCAGCATAAGATCTGAAATTGTTGGAAGTATTAGTCGTCTTCGTTGTGCAGTCTGTGAAAGAAGAGTCGATACTTTAATGTTGGCATGACGTGGGTTGCTCCTTGCGGAATTTGATATATTCTTACGCAACATTGAGAACAATTGACATCGTGCAAAATCACGATTTTGTTTCATTATCTTTCATAAAATCATATTTTTGGAATTAGTCTTTGCATTTAAGGATCAATATTTACATATTAAATAAATGTTTATATTATATATTAAATGAAATTAATAATGCTGGAAAAAGTGATACTTTTGCTGTTAATATCTTTGAAATAACCAGAATTTTCTTAACAAACAAAGAAATTTTTACACAAAATATATTTTATATAGCAAGACATAAAAACTATCAAATTGATTTGTTGAAACCCCGCTTGAAGCACCAAAATGGAATCACAACTAATTAAATCACAATTTAACACTAAGTGCAATTATTATTGACCGGGTCACTATAGATGGAGTAATCACCTGTCTAAGTTAGGCATTCAATCCAACTTGCACTGCAGATACTGTAGAGAAGAAAGAGAAACTGCATAACATGTGCATGGGGAGTGCCCGACACTAATGCACAAGCGGGAGAAACACCTAGGAAGATGGATCATAAGGATTCAAGACTAGGAAAGATAGGTTCTATACAGTCTTTCATTAAAGAAATCGGACTTGGAGAAACACTCTAATCCGACTAAGGGGCTCAATTGATCTTTTAGGTCGCAGTGCATGATACCTTCTTTTAATAATAGTAATAGTAAGTACAATTATTGCACTTAGTATGACATTTGTCGGCTATTAGAGTGCAATTTAGTATTTTGCTTAATTTAGTTCAATTCTTATCTAACAACTTTTCTGCAATTGCAACTAAAAATATACGTAATAGAAAAAATTGTTTAAAACGATGTTATGATTAAGTTGTATGTTGATAG